CACTGTTTCCTATCCTCATGCTCAAAGAGGTGGTAGAAATGGTTTAGAATAGGAAGGATTCATCTATAAAGGAAGGTATTTAAGAAATTCAGTGGGGTAGCACAGAAATCATGAGAAGCTGCAGACATTTAAAAACTGGCAAGAAGAACAAAAAGAGAACAGCACTGTTGGGGAAAGACTGATATGACATTGATCTTGACCTCGAGAGCTTGCCAGATTCCCAGGTCCATTAGAACTGCAGTACCTCTCTATGGCGTAGAGTATACCAGCCAACATAGATGCTGTGGAGGGGGAATACACTGCCAGTATACCTAAAGCCTTGATGTCTTTCTACTGCTGCTTCATGTGCCTGATGTGAGCTCACTGATTTTGTACTGAAGAAACTGTGACTGTTATATGATTTCAAACTAAACAGAAGCATCTAAATCCAATATTTTCTGTGGCAGGATAGATCAATTATTCAAAAGCAGTGACTGTTGCTGCTTGAGAAAAAGATTGCAGATGGCTCACAGTCAAGATGGAAGGATACACTGATGGAGATGTGAAGCAGCAATGTAATCCTGACTTTTTTTCTAATCCCTAGTAGCATAATAAATGTGTTTAAAAAAAGATCAAGAGACAGTAATACACAAACCAGTAACTTAGCAAACTGTATAACACCTGCATGCAGCATACATTCATTTTAATGTTAATTATGATAGTAGGAAGTAAGTGAATAGAATCCCAGAGAATTTAAGACTGATTATCTATTTAATAGCTAAAAGAAAAATCTTTTAGCAATATATACATAATTATTGTGTAACAGTAGATCCATTACGTAATTTTTTTATTTATAACATCTGCCTCCAGCACTCAAGGTGAGGCCTCCCCAGTGCAGAGCAGAGCAGGACAATCCCCTCCCTTGCCTGGCTGGTGATGCTGTGCCTGATGCCCCCTAGGGCACGGCTGGACTTGCTGGCTGCCAGGGCACTGCTGACTCAGATTCAACTTGCCATTGACCAGGACCTCCAGGTCCCTTTCTGCAGCACTCAGCACCCTCTGCTTTAGCCATCAGTCCATACATTTATGGTTTCCTATTCCAGCTGTGGAATCTAGCACTTACTCTTGCTAAACTTCTTGTGGTTGATGGATGCTGAGACTTCTAATTTATTGAGTCTCTGCAGGACCTCTCTGACTTTAAGGGAATCAACAGCTCCTCTCAATTTATTATTTTCAGCAAATTTTTCCTGGTATTCCTTTGAGTTTTGCATCCCATTAATTTTTGAAGATGTTAAAGAGCACAGGGCGTAAAATGAAGCCCTGAGAAGTCCCACTGATGGCTCCCTGCCAGACCAAGTAGAACCCTATTCTCTACAACCCTTTGTGTTTCACCCATGAGCCAGTTGCACACTCACTGTATGATGTGTTTTTACAGCTGTTTGCTGGACATTTCTCTAGAAGGATCCTGTGAGAGACAATATCAAAAACTGTGGTGGAATCAAAAAATACTACTTTTCTTTTTTTTTTTACTCAAAAAAGATCTTTCCTCTTTCTATCTATCCACAGAGGTAGCAATCATCCAGTTATGGTCTTTGAGAAAGCTCAGTACAATTGGCAATTTCCCAATTAGGCAACTCTTTTTAGACATGAAACTTCTTTTGAAAGAGATAGGAGCCAAAAAGTGTACCTAATGAGCACTTAATAAGACGATAACCAGAAAGGAGAGTTAGTCAATACAAGTTGCAAGTTAGCATATCTGTAGAAGATTTTTATCAGAATTTCCATCCCTAGTAGTGACAAAGGTGACATTTTTCACATCTTATCTAATTAGGGTTGATCTCTATGGGGTTTTCTGGTGTTTCATGAAGTGCACTCACTGTTACCACAAGCTCCTTTCACAATGTGCAGCTTGACATTACCAGCACCCTGAAGAGCCATGCTTTAAAAAATAATAATGAAAAGTATTAATTAATGTATATGTTACTATATATATTTATAATTTTTATTTTCATCCTCTACATGATAATCCTTAAAAGGATAATGCAGAAATTGTGGGTTCTAGGATACTATAATGAAAGTTCAGATAATAAGAGAGTTTAACTTAGTCCAAATCATTGTTCCTCTGCTTTTCTTTTGGATGACAGGGTTCTCTGTGACACGCCATAAACTATGAAGTAACATCCATTTCTTCTTCTTCTTTCTTTGAATTAAAATGAAAACAGAGTAATGACATATTTTGTGTCTGAACTACACTGGGAAAGGAAAGTAGAAGAGATGAAGTTGGTCTATCCTAAATACGGAAAAAAGTCTAAGAAATAACAGACACAGCAGGTTTGTCTCTTCAAAGCAGTCACAGTAACATGGGCAGAAGCTTTGTTGAGTTTGCCTACAAGAACAACAGAGGTAGGAGTATTTCACTATCTGTGCATTTTTCCTTTTCTCTATAAGATTGGAATCAATGTCATTTTTAAAACAAAATCAGTTCTCTTTATCAGATGTGATGATATTATCACAGACATCGAATGAAATGCTGGGAACATCTGGGCACATTGAAACAAAGGCCAAAGGCTGTGATATTTCAAGGAATTCCTCGGAGACAGATTACAAGGAAACTTTAGGAAACTCACTGTCTGAGGTGTTTTGCAAATTCTGCTGATCTTCATGTTAGAATGTAGAATGACCTAGGTCCTCTAGAAAAAAAAAAGGAATTTTAAATTTTTTAGGAGAACTGGCAGATTTCACTCCCAGGTGGTAAGTACTGTACAGTACAGATGAAAGCATGCTATTAAAGACAACTCTTAGAGATTTCATTTTCTTAAAACTTCAGTAGAGGACTGAAAAAAATAGTGTTTTAGCTCACTGAAAAAATATTTATTTTGTTCATCAAGGGCATGTGTCCTGGGTAACCCAAAAAAAAAATGTATATGGTATTCTATATGTTTCCTATGCTGACCTGCCCAAGATATCACTGTCTCTCTCAGACCCAGGGGCTGGAAGCAGAACTGGGATGTGTTACCCCAGGTTCACGGGGTAACCACATCCTGGTTGGCCCAGGATGGCTTTAAAAGAGAGGGAAGAGACACCCAGAGGGATTGTCTGCTCTCCCCAGGGCTTCAGAGTGGAGGCTGCATTACGTGCATGAATCCTGAATTAAAATAATATCAAAAGATCCCACCTTTCCACTTAGAATCATTGTCAAAAACATAAATTTTTGTAAATATGGTTAATCTTTATCTTAGGATGTGCTTTCTAAACACAATGGGAGTTCACATTGCTTCAGAACAACCAACAGTTGCTCAGTTCATTCTATGCTTCAATGTCAGTTAGCCTCTACTCATCATTTTTCTTTAGAAAGTGAAATTACTGCAAAAGCCTTAGGAGGACAAATTAAAAGCAAGGGCTGATTTTTAATTGGTTTTTGTTAATCATAATATAATTAACTATGAAATAATTCAATGAAGATCAAAGATAAAAATAGTAATGATTAACAGTTCTGGTACTGAGAAGAGAAACTGAAATTTTTCATTTATTTCTTTTTGATAGCAGTATCTGCCTTCTTTTGCTTATAACTCACATGAGATATGAGCTTGAAAGAACTATGTAAAATCTCACTCTGTAAAGTGGGCTTTCCTTAGCTTGTTTTAAATTTCCAAAGGTGAAGTTTAAAAAAAAAAAAAAAAAGGTTTCCAAAAGTAATCTAGAACTATTTGTAGTAATACAAAATCAGAGCTGCAAATCCCTTAAACAATATTGTGTCAGCATGGGTTTTCACATCACAATTTTGCTGTACTTTGATTTGTTCAGCACAG